GCAAATGATGACTTTATCTTTGACCATTACATTAAATGATTTTCTGTTAATTTAAATGTGAAAATCTATCATTTATGAAACCACGGGTGAGAACTTAAAGATTCGCCAAACTTGGGTAGGTAAATGCCGTTTACTCTTTCCCAAAAGTGATTTTGGAGATTTAAAACATCACCCTCAACATGAAAATAAAAATCTATAAAAATATATTAAAGCACAATGATACATATCCTAACTCTTTATTATATATTATTGTTCCATACGATGATAATTTTCACTTCCGATATATAAATTATTTATTATATTAATATTTAGGAATTATTTAGTATGAATTCCTCATGTAGAACTTATGAATATATTATTTATTATAGTGGGATACAAAAGAATGATGAAGTCGGATTTATAAACTTGTATCAGTTTTATGTTTCAAGAACGAGGTATAAAAAATTAAAAATGTTACATAAAAGTCCATAAGGGTTGCAAATAATGAGTAACATGGTATGCATTTTTATTCATTGATATCATGTTCATATTAAGTGTCAATCATAATTAGAAATTAAATAAATAATGGAGGATAATGATTTCATATTTATCTAAAGGCAATTAGGCAAAGCGTTTATCTTTGTCTAAGGGTCCATAAAGACTCAATTAGTCTATTGCAATGCATTTATAGTGAGGTAGAAACTTACTAATTATAGCCATATATTTAATTTACTTGAACATGATTTACATTATATAACACTAGGGGCATCAGTTGAGCCGAGTTTGAGCTCAAAAAACTCGATTGGGAAAGTGGAAAAGTAGAGAATTAGAGAGTTTTTTTTGATGAGTTCGAGCTCAAACTCAAATTTTTAGCGTCGAACTTGAGCTCGACATTGTAGCAATCGAGCCGAGCTCAATTAGCCCAAAGTTCGGCTCGGCTCGTTTACACCTTCACCTTATTTGTATAATTACAGTTCCACTTGTTCAATGTTTTCTTGCTTGACTAAACTTCTTTATATATTGCTAATTGTGTGATGGGCTTGACTATTGGAGGGATTAGTTCAGGCCTAATTAATGTTAATTTGTTTTCTTTAGGGACCAAATTATGAGTAAACAACATTTTCCCACCCAAGGTTTGGCGAATCTATAGTTCCCACCCTTGGTGTTATAAATTTTAGATTTCCACCCTTAAATTAACACTGTTACTTTTATCTCAAAATAACCCCCACATCTCAAATTTCTCTCAAATAACCCCCAAAGGAGATCTCGGCCAAGCCAAAAATTCGGCCTGATTTTGGCACCATGGGACCTCCCCAACACCACCATCAGCATCCCTTTATCCTCCTCACCGAAACCCCTAACTTTTTCACCTGAGTGCACCTTGGTGAGGTGCTGAAATTTGGCTAGAAAGGCGCGACAGCACGCAAAAACCTACGGGAGAGGCGGCGGCGATCGACAGGTAATTGTGATTGGCGATGTGAGGGGTTTTGGCGGGGGGAAGTCGGTGATGCTATTGGTGGTGTTGGAGGTGGTTTTCGGTGCTGGGACCTGCCAGAATTTGGATGGAACGCCGACTAAATCTAAGAGCGGCGACCGAGAATTGGAGGGTTCAAGCAGACGCGGAGGTTAAGGGTTTTGATGTAGGGGTTGAGGGGATTGTAACGGTGGTGTCGGGAGGGGTCGACTATGTCAGGAACATGCCGAAATGACTTAAAATCGTCGGTGGAGTGAATTTGAAAAGTGAAAGGTTATTTTGAAATTTTCATCTTTGAAATGATCATTTTACCCTTTAACTGTTAGATTAAGCAGTTTTCTATTAATTTAAGGGTAAAAATTTAGAATTTATGATACCATGGGTGAGAACTTTAAATTTGCCAAACCTTGGATGGAAAAATGCCGTTTACTCACCAAATTATTAATACTGTGCTGGCCTGCTGGGTGGAAGGGCCCAGTTTATGCAGGCAAGTGATCTGCCAAAATGCCCATTGTCACAACCTAGCTTTAACTGTAGCCTATAGGTACCCCAGCCCTACAAATCTAAATACCATCCTCATTAATTATGCACTCAAAGCTCCCCATAAGATCAAAGTATAACTAAAAGGACCCCAAAGAGGATCTATTTTGAGAACCCTAGTCTACCATGAAATGGATTTTCACCTTTTGTTTCTCACACACCGGACATGTTTGAACATTCAAATATTAAAGTACATAAATTGATGTAGTTGGTAAATGTACCAATTTATATTAATTATAGGAAACACAATATCACTCCACAAAATCATACAATTAATGTAATAATGATATCTCAACATTCACATCAATTAGGATTTAAAGTTTAGATTCCAAATTTATATACACAGTCACATTCAGGGGCAAATCATTGAGAGAGCTTGTTTGGGCTACAACTTAGACAACCCTCTTGGAAAAAAAATTTGATTTTTAGACTAATATATATATATATCGTTGAATATTAATTAGTAACTTTTTCATTAATTTCTCTATATTTGAGTATTGGCGAAAGAGATTGAATGAATTTGGTTGATAAAGGAGATGGAACGAATTTGAAGGTTTTGATATTAACTATTTGATTTTTTTAAAATTAATTTTCGTAAATTTGGAATTTTGTCTAGAATTAAAGTGTAATTCTCTCCATTGATTATAATTTTGTTAAAAAAAATTTGAAGGGCAACATTAAATTTCAGTGCTCAAAGCTGATCAATGAAAATAATCGTCATTTCACAATATCTTGGGGTAGAAATAAAATAATTTTTTATATAAATGTATTTTATTTATAAAAAGAGATAAACAAATAAAGAACATGTTCAAAGATATCATTTATGAAGGAAAAAAAAAAAAAAAAAAAACATAATAAAGAGTATGGGTATAATTCGAAATGAATTTCGGGAGGACTAACAAATTATGTGGACTCCCTGTAAGTATCGAGTATTACGACATATTAGAATATTTAGAAGGGAAAAAATAATACTGACTTGACCTTATTTTGAGGAATATTAACAATAATTTTGTTTTGTATTAATCAATAAATGATTAAATTTAATATACGAGTCTTTTACTTGCGTTTTTATGATAAATTTTCGTGTGCGTCGGCTTTTTTTAGTAAGTATTTAATGGTTTCAGAAATATACCCCTTGGTTAGAAATTTTTTGTAATAAGTACAAGTTAGTTTCATAAATATTATCAATTATCAACAATTTCATTAATTTAACCTCAAAANAGGAGATGGAACGAATTTGAAGGTTTTGATTTAAAAAAAAAAATTAATTTTCCTTAATTTGGAATTTTGTTTGGGATTAAAGTGTAATTTTCTCCATTGATAATAATTTTGTTAAAAAAAATTTGAAGGGAAACATTGAATTTCAGTGCTCAAAGTTGATCAAAGAAAAAAATCGTCATTTCACAATATCTTGGGGTAAAAAAAAAATAATTTTTTATATAAATGTATTTTATTTATAAAAAGAGGCAAACAAATAAAGAACATGTTCAAAGATATCATTTATCAAGAAAAAAAAAAAAACACAATAGAAAAGCATGGGTAAAACTAGATAATGAATTTCGGGAGGACTAACAAATTATGTAAGGGTTAATAATGAAGACACCCTGTAAGTATCGAAAATAACAGTTGCCCCTACGAACTTCAGAATCTACACTGTAAACCCCCTACCGTCACTTTTATCCGATAAAATGAATGATTAAGTTGACTTCAGAAACTACATTATACAAACTATTTATCCAGGGCAAAATCAATCTTAGAATTTCAAATTTTCAAAAACCAGTTTTCACAAATAATTATCCATGGTAAACATAAGATTTTTTATATTAAATAAACAAAACTGTACACCACATACCACGACAAAATCAGCCATAGAACTTCAAAAGTTCAAAAACCAAATTTCACAAACAATAATCCATGGTAAAAATAAGATTTTTTTTCATTAGATAAACAAAACTATTTGCGTCCTATCACTATGGTATGGTCTCGTCCAAATCGGTGGTTAATTGCTAAATTTTATTAATTGTTTTATTATTTAGGCTTTTTTTTTTATTAATTCTCTGAATTTAAGTTAGATGATTTTGGATTTGTAATTTTTTTTCAAAGTTTATGAAGTTATTGCAACAATTGTGGACATAAAAGTCTATTTTAACCTTACCCTTGTTATAGTTAACAGACAAAAATAACGGTAGGGGTGTATAGTGTAGTTTCTGAAGTTTGTGAGGGCAACCAGTTTTGAATACTTATAGGAGATCGGTAGGAATAAGGAATGAACCCATTTTTTAAATATTCACAGAAATATTGTTTATCTTTTTGTTATGAGAAAACTGCATTAATACAAAAATAAGGGAAACAAAGTTTTCAATTTAAATTACCAAAAAAAATAAAGTTTTCAATTTAAGAATTTAGAAGAATAGAGAAAATGGGTGTAGAAACGGGAAAAAAATTATTGTTGGAGAAATTAAGACTTATTAGAATAGATGGGGGAGATTATGAATATTTATAAGGGAAAAAATAATACTAAAATTGACCTTCTTTTGAGGAATATTAACAATATTTTCTTTTTTTTCGTATTAAGCAATAAATAATTAAATTTAATATATGAGTCTTTTACTTGCATTTTTATGATAAGTTTTCGTGTGCGTTGGTTTTTTTTAGTGAGTATTTATTGGTTTCAGAAATATATCCTGTGGTTAGAATTTTTTTGTGATAAGTACAAGTTAATTTCTAAAATGTTATCAATTCAACCTTTAAATTTATCGACAATTTCATTAATTTAACCTCAAAATGGTAAACTTTTAACACTAACAAAATCATGTCTTTACAAAAAGAACAAACAAACCAGAATTTAAAAAATATATATATATATATATATATATATCTTTGTTTTTTTATTAATTTGAAGAAACAGTAGTAGTAGTCGGAGGTCAATGTACATGAAGAGAGAAATGATGCAAAAACAATTAATTCCATTAATTGATGGATTGTTCATTGGATAGGGTGNCTAACTCTTTGAGGCAGTTATAGATAAACAGTCAAACCTCATCAACGAGCGAACAACCAGTGTTTTCGCATCCAATTTCTTATGATTTTCTTCAGAACCCCACATCAGATTATTCCACACCAGTTCCTTTTTATCAGAAATCTTTTATCTATTTTATTCAATGGTCAACTACAATCTTGATTAATGTTGAAACTCAGATAGGGAGAGAAGCCGATCCATGCTCTTTCGCGCGCTAAAAGAAATGAGAAGATTTGAATAAAGTGGCGATCTGCACGATCTAATTGGCGTTAGCGTTTACTGGGCAGTCATGCCAGGCCCAGGTCCGCATATGATGTACGCGATGGGATCGGGGCTGGGACTTATGCGAGTTTCTAACGGCCGGTTCAGCGCCCACCATACGTTGACTTACACCATCAACGCCTTCTTCGGTCCCGACATCGGCTCCTTCTCCGAATGGCTCGGCTCCTTCTTCTCCAACTCGTTCGGCTCCACTATAGCCGATGCCATTCACCACCCTTTTTATTATTTCTTGATTCTTGGCCTTCCTATGTGCATTCTTTATTCTTGGCTCTCCAGGTTTTTGCTACTTAGAGGACTTCTTGATTCGGTTTCTGGGGTGAGTTCTAATTTTTATTTTTTATTTTCTTTATTATTTTTTTTATCATTATTTGGATTTTCTTCATGTACTCTGTTTGCTATTTGGATACTGTAATTAGGACTGCTTTAATTTTTGGCGGGGTTTGTTGGGATTGATTTTGAATTCAATGAGATTTAGTTATAAAGGTTTGTCCTTTATTGATGTTATGGGAAAGAAGGAATACTAAGTTTGAGATTATTTTGAAGATTATTGATGCCTTTGGAATTATTGGAAATGTTAATTTAGGTAGTTTTCTTTTATCAGTGTGATCTGTTTTGTCTCATAGTACTATTTTAGTTACCAAATTGATCCTGTTACCAATTTCTACTAGCTGGGTTGTTTATTTTCCAGATGAGATTTTCATTATTTATCATAAGTTACGTTTTATTATCTATTGGGATTTTATCTTGCAGGTGCCCCTGTCAAGGAGGCAGTGCTTCTTGTTGATCTGCGCTGGTTCTTTATCTCATTTTTTCCTTGACCATTTATTTGAGGTAAAATTTGGAGTTTGATGGTTTAGAAATCTGTTGTACAAGAACCATTTACTTTTATTTCTTTTTTTTTTGAAGTACAATTACCTCTTTAAATATAGTTCTTTAATGATATTTCTTTTGGTTAGATTCTTGATAATCTAGTCATACATACGTAAAATGATATTTCTTAGGTAGAGATTCTTGAATCTGTTTTATCAGAGTTTGCTTTTGGTGTTAGCTTACAGTTTTAAATCTGTTTCTTCTTTCTCTTTCTTGGGTTGTAAATGAATGACTCCACAAAGTTGTTGAGTTTCAATTTTATATGAGTGGTTATGGTTGTGCTTTTGGGACAAATATCATGCATCTAACATCCTTTAATTGAAAACTTACCATGGCATGAATTAAATTTGGTAAATTTAAACCAAATTTAATTTAATGCTTTAGGCTACTGATTTTCACTACTTATCTTCTGTGACATAAGCTGTACTTTGGCAATGTTGAAATGGAATAAGTAAATGCAGACTTTTAAAACCCTGATTGGTGGGAATTTTTCTAGGATAAGATTGTGTTTTTAAAGAGAAAGACTGGAGAATTGATTAGGCAGCAATTTCTAAGGAAATACCTTTACGCTTTTGTGGCTTGTACCAAAGGCTGATTCTTGAACCCATTTCTTCTCATTTTCTTTTTTCTTCTTTCTTTTATTGGTACAATTTTTGTTTTTGTTTTTGTTTTTTTTAATCTCATGCGGATTTTTTTACTCATATTGATGTATCAAATATCTTTAACTGTATAGGAAAATGGTCAGTCAACAATGTATACTTGGATATTGAGCACTGGTTGGTGGAAGGGTCAAGCACCTGTAAACCCAGATGCTGTATTTGTTGTTGGCTTATTGTGCACTTGCTTAATTGGTGGCTTCATTTATATACACAGGTTCGGGAAAGTGCAATCAATTAGTTATATTTCAGAAATTTATTTGGTTGTTGACTGACTTATATTGCTTGATAATTTTGTTATGCAGAGTAAAGTCCGTAAAGTCAGCTAGAAAACAATCATTTCAGTCATTGAAACTTATCTTGATTATAGCAAGCATGTATTGCTTATGGTGTGCTAGCCAGATATACTGGGTGAATCCTCGTCAAGCACCTGTTGGCGAAGAGGCTGATCTCGGAGTTCTTATATTTTTGGCCATTTATTTCTTTCTTCCTCACTGTTTGTGTATTATGTCCATAAATCCTAAAGATGGCGACATTGAGCCACTCCCACTTTAACATATTACACTTGTTGAGGTATGAGAATCTCACTCTTGTGGGTAATTATCCTGAGGCAAGCAAAAATTTTCAGGTTGTGGAAGCAGTATGTCAATTATGAAGCGGTTGTGATATTGCCTGTTGTTATACTGTGTAGATGGTTAGGAAATTCTCCTTTGATTTATCTCAGTATAGTCTTTTGTAGCAAAGAAAAAACAATTATAGATATTTTTGGGCCATTTGGCTTTTGTAGTTTGGAATACGGCACTAAAGAAATAAAAGTTATTCCATATTCATGGGCTTTCTATCTGGATTGGTCGATTTGATTTGTGATGAAGTGCGAAGTTTTGGTTGTTAAGCTGAAATTTTAATGTTGGGATTTTGTTTAGATGTTTGGTTTAAGTGTGTAAACCATATATGAGGTGGTCGGTATAAACAGCTTAAGAGTTTTGCTGTTCATCACTTCATCCCTGGTGCTGAATATTTTTTACTATTCCTGTATTTATGGTGTTTACTATAAAACTGGATCTTGAAATTTAAATGCATTTTAGTGAGGAAAGGAAAACAAAAAGTAGTTTTACATTGTCAAAGAGCAAAAAGAGGATCTAATATAATCTCTTAAGTTCGAGTCTTCTTAAAGGTAAAAGAGCAAGAGGAGGATTTAACATGGTCTTTCGAGTTCGAGTCTTTACGGTTGCTAATAGGGGTGACCATTGGAGTTCATACATAGCCAATAGTTCTAAGGTCTCGAAGGATTAGTTGAGATTTGTATAAGTTGGCTCGGACACCTCTGGTTATTAATAGAGGTGGAAGAAATAGGCTGGGTTAGGCGGGTCAACCCTAACCCGGCCCACATTAAAAAGTGTTCAACCCGGACTGCCAATAAGGCGGGTTGGGTTGAACCCAACCCGCATGCAACCCCCGGGTGGGTCGGGTTGATATATGGCAACAGGACAACCCGCGGGTTGCTATTTTGTCCTTTTTGAAGAAAGGACGGGTTGAAAAAAAAAATTAATTTGTTTTTTCGAATTCCCTTTTTATCCTTGAAATATAGCCGTTTTATAGCAGTTAGAGGGGTTTTTTTGGTCATTTTTTTCTATAAATTGGCCATAAACTCTTATATTTTCTCACAACTCAAATTCTCTCATTCTCTCATTTTCTCTAATCTCTAATCTCCATTGAAATCTCTTAATTATTCTCTTAATCTCTTTGTTATCAATTTGCTATTATTTTAATTTTTATTAGTTTTTGCAATTTTTCAATTCATATTTCCAATTTTCCATATTCTAATTCTCATTCTTTAATTTTTTTATTTCTTCTACATCAATTTTTTTTTTTCAACTACAATGGATAGATATTTCTCTCCCATCAATTTCAATGATGAAGGAAACTACTATCATAATCCTAGCCCCGCTGAATTTACTAACATGAATGCAGGAGGAGTTTCAAATAGTCCCGCTTTCCCAGTCTCAAAATCTGATACACCTCAAAATGTGCCTCCGATTCCTCCCCATGTTGCTACACCTACAGCTCCCGATGGTTCTAGAAATTGTCCTCGTAATCGTTGTCTTCGTCCAACTTCATCTTAAGCTAAAGCGGGTTCATCAACTGCTATCGAAAGCGACGACAAACACACATCAGACGTTTGGGCGCATTTCGATAAGTTTTACGAGGCAAAAAATTGAGTTCAAGTGAAGAAAGCAAGATGCAAGTATTGTGGAAATGTTTATAAAGCTGATTCAAGTAATAGTACTAGTACTTTAAAAAGGCATGCTAATAAACATATTGCTCAACATGGAAATAGAGAAACCAATCAAACTCAAATAACTAATATGGGTACTACTTGGCGTTATAATTCTGATGTATATAGGGAACAATTAGTTTATATATTGCTGCAACTGATCAACCTCTATTAAAAGGCTGAAGAAATATTTGAAAATTTATTAAAAATTCATTTTTTCCATGATTTAAAAGTTATTCTAAAACTGCAACTAGAAATGATTTAATAAATGTTTAGAAAAAAAAATAAAATTAAAAAATAAAATACATACTTGTCATGTTAGTATGGCTCTAACTGCCGATATTTGTGGTGGTAGAGCTAAACAGATTATATTTGTGTGACTAGTCATTATTTTGATAACAAATGTAAATTAAATAAATCTATTAGGATTTAAATTAATGGATGTGGATCATAGTGGTCAACAATTTACAATAAATTGTTGAAGTTTTAGAAGATTATGATATTGTTACAAAGTGATAAGTTTAACTTTAGATAATGGAAGTGCTAATACTATAGCTATAGATTTTTTTCTAAGTAATTATCATTTTTATAAAATTTGAAGTTTTTTCATCAACGTGTGTATGTCACATTATAATTAATTGTGAAAAGTGATATGAAAACAATTAAAGAAAATTGATAGAATTATGGTGTTAGCTTGGATTACTGTAGTATAAAAGAAATACTGAATTCAAGTTGCTTGTATACAATCAAATATGTCTCCTAGACTTTGCATTAGACATGCCTATTAGATGGAAAGTACTTATTTAATGCTTGATTCATGTTTACCTTATGCAAATTTAATTAGTTATTTTGTAGCAAATAATAGAGGTCCTCATTATTTGGTAGAAAATGATTGACATATAGCTAAAATATTTCATTATTTTCTTAAAAAATTTTACCAATCTACTTTACAATTTTTGGTGTGTTATCCTACTAGTCCATTGGTATAATACAAATTAAAAAATTCAGAGTATTTACAAAAACAAAAACAATGAAATTTTAAAGGAACCAATAAAGGCAATGATTTTTTTTTTTTAAATATTGGAAACTCATTCATTTTCTTTATTGTTTAGGTGTTACATTTGATCTAGAATTAAATTAGCAGGTTTAGAAAATGGTTTAGACAATTTAAGTGAAAATTTACAAACCGAAGCATATGCCAATCAAATAGGAGAGGTAAAAAATTGTCTTACGAAGTATATTTCCAATATGAAAATAGGTATGGGAACTCGCAAAGAGGCGAAATATCCAGGGAAGTTGCATCAAAGAATCAAATGAGACTTCTACTCTTGGAGTGCACAATAGGCTAAAGAAGACCGAATCCGAAGCACAACCTCTTCTTCAGAAGACCACCAGCAACAACAACAACAACTATATACTGTCCTCCACGCAGTCACCGAGTATGAGCTTCAATAATATTTGGCAACCCCCGAAATGTTACCAGCCGATCCACAACAGAGAGCCAACTTGACGTCTTAGAATATTGGAAAGCCAGAAAATGTATTTTTTCGTATTATCAAGACTTGCCTTGGATGTTTTCGCTGTTCTTGTCTCAACCGTCTCATCCGAACAAACTTTAGTGCAAGTGGAAGAATTTTAAATGAAAGGAGGACTAAACTTTCATAAAAAATGATTGAAGTCCTCACATGTCTTCGAGATTGGGAACGGTCGCGCCATCAAGATTAATACGAGATTGTCGACGATATTTAATAGAAACATTTTAATTTTGTAATATGATGATACAAATGAGGGAGGTCATAGTTAACCCCAAATTAGTTGTTTTGTAAATTGTAACTTGTAAATTAATTGTCAATATTGCACTCTTTTTTCTTTACCAAGTTTTTGTCTCATTGGGTTTTTCTTGGTGGGGTTTTTAATGAGGCAATAATGTTGTAATTTCTTATTTTATTTTTTGATAAATGATAAATATAATTTTTCTTATATGAGTAACGGGGGGATTACTTTTCCAACATTAGTTATTAAAAAAAAAAAAAAAAAAATTCTCCACATTTATCAGTATTTGAAACCATGATCAATTTAAATCTTGCACACAACATTAATCAAGTTTAAACCAAAGAAATATTGCTAACATATATTAATCAAGTTTGCTTTATAGTTCTGTACATACGTGTGATTGCATTGATAATATATGACTGTAATTATAATTCTCTCCATAATTAATATATATAATAGAAGGTTAACCAAAGTTTTGATGAAACGTCCACAACGTTAACCCTGCATAAAACATCACTCGCTAATTATAACTCATCAATTGTGGAGAGAATATGTATGGTTAACTATATAAAACATTTGAAATTTACTTAATTTAATTAATTAATTAATCAAATTGCTCATGATTAGAAATTGACGAATATTGTGAAGGCGGCAATGTCACCAACCACAGCCACTTACTTCCCTGCGTAACCCAATTGGTTTGTGAGCTTAATAAATGTTTTATCGTTTTTAATTAAAAAAAAATAATATTAACTATTAAGCTAATTATGAATCATGATTATTTGGATACATATTTTCTCGTTCTTTAATTAAATTTAAGTAATATGAATCATGATTAATTATTTGGAATTTGAGTATGTATTTGGTACTACTAAAAAAATTGACACGATACAAACAGTAAAATAAGGAAACATTAAATTTGAAGAGAACCAGAATTCACAAGATTAATGAATCGACCATCAATCTATTGAGTCTAATTAAAGTAAACACATTGTTTAAATTTGATTTATAAACCAACGAATTAAAATTGACATAAATATTGAAAAAAAAGAAACATGAATGAGTATAAATTATTGAGTTTCTATCACAACATTGATTCTGATTTCTGAGGCTGGAGTCTTGGCATATATTCTGATTACTTATTGCTGAAAATCAATTTTATCGATCCTTTTATGTTTAGTTGTAATGGTGACAACTCCCCTTCAGACTGCTGCTATTTCAGATGACTTGGAGTTCATGACTTCTTTGCAAATGATGGTAGACAAAATGCGGCAGAAGATGTCCTGAATATTAGTGAATGATTATATATAAGCAAGAAAAGGTTTCAGAAGTGAAGCCAATTAATGGTGCTTTGAGGACGAGATTAATTACCTCTGAGTCGTAAAATTTCAGCGGTTCTTTTGCCACACCGAAGTTTGTTCTGGATCGATGGGGTTGACAGGACGTTTGAAGTCCACGGAGGGACCTCAGTAGAGCAAAGCATGAAACCTATTACTCCACTGATGAATTTAAACATGTCATCTTAATTAAATGCTAATAAAAAGTAGTAAATCCTAAAAGATGAATGGAATAAATGACAGAGAAAATTAGGAAAAAGTGAGTGAGGATGCATGCATGCATGCCTGGATAAGTAGGAACTATCGTCCATGCATAGCGGAAGAGCCTTTGAATATCCGGCGACAATTTGCGACGAGATTTCAATGCTGAGTGCCGGATACCATAGACTTCCGCCTGGATACATCACTCCACCGGGGCGGAGAGCTTTTGCCACCAACTCAAAGAATGAACTTTTGAAAAGCTCATCTTCAGGTCCTGCATCAAATTAGTGTAAATGAGAACATTCGAATAATAAATTAATTAAAACTGAAGATATATAAGAGGAAGAAATTAGGTTACTTATTGGGTCAAATGCATCCACATTATAGCATCATAGGTACCACTTTGAACAGACTTCAAAAATTTAGTTCCTGACATTTTTGCAACATATTAAGAAGGTAAACTTCAGGGTAAATATAGAGGAAAAGCTAGCTATAACAAGAAGAAGCTAACAATCAAATTGAATATACCGTCTCTGACATGAATTTACTCGAGAATCCTCGTATCCAACAGCAATTTCAGGGAAGATTCCTTATACACCTGAAACAATATTATATTATATGAAATTTCACCGTCAGAATTTTGAGTCATCAAAGAGACAACTTTCGCAGGACCGTGCCTTTAATAATCATACAAGACGACGAATAAACTTACTCAGCTGGGTCAAAATCCATGACCCACATCATATATAAAATTCTGAATTGTACAGTAACAACGTGTATTATTTCAATAAAACCAAAAGTTGATGTTGACTTTGCTGTAGGCATGGTGTGTAATCCATGTCGTATGATTCGTGTTTCACCTGAAATTAATAAACTACGACTCTGTCTCCATTTTTTAAATACTGAAAGATTAAAATATTCTCACGTTCACAGCATCGTGTCAATCTCGCATATATCAATCTGCTCAACGGAAGAATGTCGAGAGATTTCACGTAGGATACACCATCTCCCCCCAATAAGCAACACCTATAATTTCAATAAAAAAAAAAAGAAGAAAAGAAACAAATTCAACGACAGGCCACTGATTGGAAGATAGAAAATTGTTGTCTAACTAATTACACAATAGATTGTATTTATATAGACATGGATTTGGGGAGATCTTTAGAATGATTGTAAATTATGATAAAAGAGAAACCTTTTGGGGTTGGGAATAGAGCAGAGAGGAAGGTGAGTAATCATTTCTTGGTATGAAAACTCATCCTTTTCTGTGAGTTGGAGAGCTCCATCCAGAACAAAAACCTTGCCGTATGATGATGACGCATAAATATAACCAGGGTACAATACATAATATATTGAAATTAATGAACATACACAAATTAATATAGCAGCTAGAAAAATAGTATGCCAAATCAAATTTTTATATGTATATATCCATACCTCAAACACCATCATACTTTGGAATTCAGACTTTCCTTGAAATATAATTTTTTCTACCTTTAAGAAGTGTGGCTTGGCCTGCAAGATACATCAAACAATTTGATTAACGTTCACATAACCAACAATCATACTATCACAAGGCAAAATCATCACTTAGAAAGTCTGAGCAATTTCGAGTTGCATATATATGATTAGGTCTCCTTGCTTAAGCCTGAAATTTGCAGCTTTACAGTCCATATTTTGTGGTTATTTATAAAGAAAAGGGAAAAAAAAAAAGAAAAAGGATCAATGCATGTTATGAAAAATTTGGTTGTCAGGATACATAACGTAAGTCAAAGAATAGAAAAATACAATCAGAATAGGTTCATTTTACAGTTTAATTAATTTTCCGGAAAGAAGGAGGTTCACAAAAATAACTTAATTTTACAATGAAATGTGCACAGAAAACCTTCAAATAGATTAACTGCAGCAAATATCAAACACATCATCCTCTTGAACGATAAGTTTTCGAAGAACATCCCATAGATTTACAATTTTCATCCAAAATTTGACATATATGGCTCAAAAAATATTGAGAATCAGTAATCAATTTTCTTCTGTTGCGAGAGAGTGAAGTGTTGCTTATAAAGTATATTACCTACATGTTAATTTCAGTTCTGCATGTCCATTGGATATATATATATATATATATATGTAAAGAAAAGAATTATGATTTATACAGTAAATTGCCAAAACGAAAAATGGATGACAAAGATGGTGATGAAGTAAGAAAAATAAGTTAGTGCTGTCTCACTGACCTGGCCATACGGGGCAATGCTCCGCAAACCACCCAGGAATGGTGGGATGATGAAGCTCCTGAGTACTTTCGTTTTCTTCTTCTCTTTCAACATGAATCGCTGAAACTACAGCAACTGCAGACTCACCATTACAAGCCGAAACTATGCTCTTTGCTTCTTCCATGAGTAATTCTTTCTCCAGCTTCTCCCTGTGATAATGTTTTGGCAGGTTAAATAACAAAAACGTTTAAGTAAAACAAATTTAACCAGAAGAAATATATATATGTATATATTTAATCTGGTGTTCCCATTTATAGTTATGTATTCAGCAACTTGTAAATGAGCACTATATGTAGAGATATTATATATGTAAATGAGCACTATATGTAGAGATATTATATATATATTGAGAGTTAGAAATTAAATCTTGGTTGGTCTGAGAATCTGTAATTAATACACCAAATCTCCCACTTTTTCCTTTTCCTGCCTTTTCTAATTAACCCATCATCAATTTTTCTTGTCTTCACTTGTAATAAATTGTGATAAACATGACATATATAAGAATTCCAAATAGGATCTCTTATAAGTAACAAATAAATGAATGCATTATAAAAAAATACTATGTATAAATGAAGAAGACAGAAAAAATCCCTTAAATGAAAAAGAAATCAAAGTTTTTTCCCTTAATTGAAATATTATTAGTACTAATATATATATAAACTTGAATTTAACAACAGAATTTATCGAAGTACGCGGGGTTCTTTTACTTGGAAGTCTTACTTTGTGTCAAATGGGATTATGAAGTCTAAAAGAGAAATTAGAAATGTGTTTTGTTTTTTTAAAGAGTAAACGGCTTTTTTCCACCCAAGGTTTGCCTTAATGATACTTTTCTATCCAAAAAGTTTTAAAATACCATTTTTTTACCCTATGTTTATATTCCATTAATATCCAAAATACATTTCACTTTCTCAATTGGCGTTCGGTGAGTTACAGGAGCCAGGGTAAGATGGTTTTTCATATAGTAAAGGCTGGTGGATCGAATGGTGGTGATCGATTGAATATTCGCTGCTAGAATCAATTGAAAATTAGCTAAGAACAGGAAATCCTAGTTTTGCGATGGTCAACAATCGGCGAGAAATCAGATGCCGGAGTGAGAGGAATTTTGTGGAGAAGAGAGTGGAGGTTCTAATGGTGATAACTGAAAGAATTTTTGCTGTCGAAATCGGCTTTGGGTAGTACTAAATATTAATTTTGGGTGACAAAGTTGAAACTTTTTAGGTGGGAAATGTCATTAAGGCAAACCTTGGGTGGGAAAAAGTCCATCACTTTTTATAAAGTTAAAGTCAGCGCAGATGTGTTTGTTTAGAAATAGGATGGACAAACAAATGGTTTCATATGTCTTTATTTATATAAGTCTTTTTCATTTTCATCTTTTATAAATACCTTTAATTTACTTTGACCATTTAATATTGAAAATAATCGAAACCTTTGTCATCTTAATTCTTATTTTCACATTTCCTTTTATTGCTAGAAACTTAATCCATGGGTTATTCACATTACTAGTAACTAGACAACATCTGATGAGACACCGTGCGAACTTTATAAGCCTAATGTTATATAGCAATGGGACAAGGTCTCTCCTGCCTCCAGCTTTATAAGAAGTATTGTATTAGGGGTGTTGTTATGCAAAAACACAACAACCAGAGGTGTCCAATCGACCTTCGATAGGACTGAGCAAGATGTGTGTGTGATTAAGAATAACTAACTTGGAATGGATTAAAAAATCTATAATGGGATGACAAGAGAGGTTTTTAAAGTGGTTCGGCAAGTATGAATCAAGCCTACGTTTATTGTTATATTATTGCTTTGCATTTGTTTTACACGTAGAATGATTACAAGGGAAACACATAAAGGCGAGGTTAAACTCTCTCTAAGTGAGTTTCTTGTTCTATATGTGGATCATCCTCCTTCAAAATGGAGATGGAGTCTCCCTTTTATACATCGTATGATAATGGCTAGGAGTTGTTATGGGATAGATTACAAGTATAATCCCCTGTAATCCGGATCTGAGTCAACCCCTCCCATACTTAAGTCTGAATACCTATGCTTAATATTGATATACTTGTTAGGGAAGTCATCTGATGTGGAAGCGACACGTGGGGCAGACTCAACTGTCATATCTTAGTTTGGTGTGAGGAAAGGTGGCCCAAATCTGGTCGTCGGAAGGGTCATGCACAACAAGGGGTAATTTTGTTGATTTCTCCTTAGCCTTAGGTTTTGGTTTGTTAAGGTCAGGAGATCTCAAGGGAGGTAGAAATAAATTTTCAAAAGTAAAGGGGTTCTGATAATTAGGAAAAAGTTGAGGGAGGTGAAGTAATTCTCTTGTAAAATGAATGAAATTACTACTTCAGTTATTTTTAAATTGCCGCGCGTTCTTTATAGTTTTAAGTTATAATTCGAGGCGAAATCCTCGTGGTAATCATCGATTCTCCAGAAATCTCGCAATGCAAATTGAAACCAACAACATCCATGATGGATCCAGAAGCCATGTGTGCAGTAGATTAATGTTCTTGTACAATTTCTCTCTGGTTTGATCGTTTAATCACAAGAGCTTTCCTCTTCAGTGATTTCCACATAAATAATGACGGTGAAGCAAGATGAATAATAACATAAGCTTGTACAATTTGCACAAGACCTTCTCCCTCCGCCGAGCCAACGCGTCCTGGTGGAACCGAGTCCACGACCCACAAAGCGACTTTATCACAAAATGGAACCATTTTTTTCTGGTGATTTGCCTTGTAGCGTTGTATTTAGACCCTCTGTATCTTTTCTACCCCATTATCCGCAACGATTGCTTGACCATCGATCTCAATTTAGGCATCGTGGTTACCTTCTTTAGGACAGTGACGGACGCATTCTTTCTCTCGCACATTTTTATCAAGTTCAGAACAGCATTTGTGGCACCCAGTTCCAGGGTTTTTGGCAGGGGAGAGCTCGTCAAGGATCCAAAAAAGATTGCCAGCCGCTACTTGAAGTCTGAATTTGCTATGGATTTAGCAGCTGCACTTCCTCTCCCACAGGTTATATCATAGAATGGAATTTTAAGATTTGTTAATTATAAATATTATTTACTTGGCGTTGCTTTGAAATGCAGCTTGTCATCTGGTTCGTAATTCCAGTACTCAAATATACAACAGCTGAATATGCCAACCACACTCTTTCTCTCATTGTTCTGATTCAATATGTTCCCCGAATTTCAATTATATTCCCTCTTAACAGACGGATTATTAAAACGGCTGGAATTGTGGCCAAAAGTCCGTGGTCAGGCTCTGTTTACAATCTCCTCATGTACATGCTTATGAGCCATGTGAGCATTTATATATTCAATTTCTTATATATCCCGTTTATCATCATTTGTCTCTGTTATTTGATTTAAAATTTTCGGTGCAGCTTCTTGGAGCTGTATGGTATTTGTTTTCTATGCAGCGGCAGTATGAGTGCTGGTCTATCGAATGTCAAAAGGAGAGTAATATCACCAACGCTCAGCCTTGTATTGCTTCTTTTCTTGACTGTGAAACTAAGGACAAACATAAACGCGAAGCTTGGTTTAAGGCCACCATGGTGCTCCGCAATTGTGATGCTAAAGATGATGATAAGTTTCAGTTCGGAATATACGCTGATGCTTTTACTAATGATGTTGCTGAATCAACTTTCTTTAAAAAATATTTCTATTGCCTCTGGTGGGGTTTAAAAACGCTAAGGTATGGTCAGTTACAGGGAAAATCTCATGGAAAACTTTTCTGTTGTTAACTTTCTTTCTCAATTCAACATTCTAATTTATGTTTATCCATAGAGATATTCAGCTCTTCCATTCTCAAATAAATTACATCCTTCGTTTTAAATCATCGAAATCCTGGTTTGTTATTAAAGCTATAACAAGAAAAACCAGGAATCACCTTAGATTTTATTTCTAAAAAGATTATGAAGAGCAGGAGTCCCTGTTATCTTGCTTCTTATACTAATTAATAGAAAATGGTATAGAAATATTAAATTTGATGTTTTGACTGTAATACAATTTCAACCATTTCTGTGATGTGTAGTTGCTATGGGCAGAATCTTGAGACGAGTACTTATGTTGGTGAAACAATATTCAGCATTGTTGTCTGCATTGGTGGTCTAATTCTGTTCTCACATCTCATAGGCAAAATGCAGGTATGGAAAAATCACTAGAGTATCTAGATAAGATGCTCAGAGTGTTTAATTAGTCTGATTTGATAATTTTTTTTCTTCTTAAAGACGTATTTGCAATCCACAAACGCTAGACTAGAGGAGTGGAGGGTTAGAAGAAAAGATACAGAAGAGTGGATGAGGCACCGGCAATTGCCCCAAGAGCTGCAAGAACGGGTACGCCGGTTTGTGCAATACAAATGGCTAGCCACAAGAGGAGCTGATGAAGAATCCATTTTGGGCTCTTTACCTTTGGATCTTAGGCGTCAAATTCAGAGGCATCTCTGTCTAGCTTTTGTTCAACGTGTAAGTCCTATTGCCTTGTGCCATTAAGTAGCTGAAAAGGGAACTCTTCCGGAGGTTATTTAATTCATATATCCAACCAATGGTTTTATTCAGGTTCCATTTTTTGCACAAATGGATCCGCAGCTCTTAGATGCCATATGTGAACGTCTCTACTCATCCTTGAATACCAGAGACACCTTCCTTATTCGAGAAGGCGATCCGGTGAGCGAGATGCTCTTCATCATTAGAGGTCAAGTAGAGAGCTCCACAACCAATGGAGGAAGGGTAGGATTCTACAATTCTATTGTTCTCAGAATTGGTGACTTCTGTGGTGAAGAATTATTGACATGGGCCTTGATGCCAAACTCTACACTCAATCTTCCATTATCAACTAGAACAGTCAGGTCCATTACTGAAGTTGAGGCCTTCGCACTTCGAGCTGAAGACCTTAAGTTTGTTGCAGGCCAATTTAAGCGCCTTAATAGCAAGAAACTCCAGCATGCTTTCAGATACTACTCTCACCAGTGGAGGGCTTGGGGAGCTTACTTTATACAAATTGCATGGAGACGCTATTTAAAGAGAAAGGAGGCGATGGAGTTGGCTATGGAGGAGGGCTTATTTGAAGATGAGTATTACAGTGATGAAACTCCTGAAGAAAGTAATGAAGATAGTGGTTCTGCTGCCGAGAGGACATCATCAGTGGAGGGTAGTGCAGTCAATGCCACTCTTACTGGTAGAGTACTTAGTGGTAGAGTACTTTCTTCTAGATTAAGTAGCACAAGAAGGCTTAGCAATAGGTTTTCAGATTATGACCCTGATGGATCTACCTTAAAAATGCCCAAAATGTTTAAGCCTCAGGATCCTGATTTCTCTAAAGACCAGTAAGATTGTTGATCCTGTACACTGTATCATGACGAGGTTTCTTTGAATTTTCTATGTTTCTCTGTAGTCTGTATCATTTTAAATGGTCATGAACAGATCTGGTAAAATTCCTCTGAGCTTGATTGTCACTTGTGGTGGGTAGTTTAAACGTCATGTCATGTCAAAATTTCAAAGTGGGTCAATATTTTTTCATTAAAGTTTTGATGGACTTTTTCCTAAATTATCGGTGCTACATGCATGCTTTAAGTGATTTGCATCCAGCACACGTTACACCGAGTTAAGCGAGTTATTCCCTACAAAGGCTTATATCACCTAAAAATTTTTAAAATATCATTTTATTATCAAAAATTATATTTTAAAGATAAACAGAGGTCAAACTCAATCCAAACTATTAAGGTTTTTAAAGAGAGAAGATTGATAAGTCTTTTAGTGATGAAATATTAGATTTTAGTAGTTATGATTGATCGAAATTTGACTTGAGAAGGGTATAGTGTAAACCCTAATCATTTGATTACCGGCGAATGGGGGTGTTAACGGGAGTAAGGTTTGAGGGGTTTTGATGATCGTCAAGCTAACATATGCAAGTTGCAGCAAGCTAACATATGCAAGTTGCAGCAAGCTACAGCGTAGTGTCGATAAACTAAACATTTTAGGCTGTTTTGTGGACGTTGCACCGGATTTTTTTTTTTTTAAATCAAAAGGAAAAAAACAGAAAGTGAATGACATAGACCAAAGACATTAAGATTTGGTTTAGGTATTAAGGAATCAGGATGACACCGATATGGACCCATTTAATAAAATATCACAACATTTTCTCGATTGTGTAAAATAGAATTAAGATATTTAAAGCAAAAATTATCTATTACTTTTCAACCTCTTATGACATGACCGTCCAATTGGAATTAAAAATAAAATAAAATTGATTTTATCCTCATATTTCTTTTCAAGGACCCTCAGTAGAGCAAAGCATGAAACCTATTACTCCACTGATGAATTTAAACCATGTCACTCTATATAAATGATATAAAAAGTAGTAAATCCTAAAAGATGAATGGAAATATGACAGAGAAAATTAGGAAAAAGTGAGTGAGGATGCATGCATGATGCCTGGATAAGTAGGAACTATCGTCCATGCATAGCTGGAAGAGCCTTTGAATATCGGCGACAATTTGCGACGAGATCTTCAATGCTGAGTGCCGGTACCAAGACTTTCCGCCTGGATACACATCACTCCACCGGGGCGGAGAGCTTTTGCCACCAACTCAAAGAATGAACTTTTGAAAAGCTCATCTCAGGTCCTGCATCAAATTAGTGTATATGATGAAACATTCGAATAATAAATTAATAAAAAACTGAAGATGATATATAAGAGGAAGAATTAGGTTACTATTGGGTCAAATGCATCCACTATTATAGCATCATAGGTACCACTTTGAACAGACTTCAAAAATTTAGTTCCTGACATTTTTGCAACATATTAAGAAGGTAAACTTTCAGGGTAAATATAGAGGAAAAGCTAGCTTAACAAGAGAAGCTAACAATCAAATTGAATATACCGTCTCTGACATGAAGTTTTACTCGAGAATCTCGTATCCAACAGCAATTTCAGGGAAGAATTCTATACACCTGAACAATTTATATTATATGAAATTTCACCGTCCGAATTGAGTATCAAAAGAGACAACTTTCGCAGGACCGTGCCTTTAATAATCATACAAGACGACGAATTAAACTTACTCAGCTGGGTCAAAATCCATGACCCACATCATATTAAAATCTGAAATTTGTACAGTAACAACGTGTATTATTTCAATAAAACCAAAAGTTGATGTTGACTTTGCGTAGGCATGGTGTTGATAACCATGTCGTATGATTCGTGTTTCACCTGAAATTAATAAACTACGACTCTGTCTCCACTTTTTAAATAATGAAAGATTAAAATATATCTCACGTTCACCAGCATCGTGTCAATCTCGCATATATCAATCTGCTCAAGGAAGAATGTCGAAGAGTTTCACGGATACCACCATCTCCTCCCCCAATAAGAACAAACCTATAATTTCAATAAAAAAAAAAAGAAGAAAAAGAACAAATTAACGACAGGCACCGATTGGAAGATAGAAAATTGTTGTCTAACTAATTACCCATAGATGATTTTATATAGACATGGATTTGGGGAGATCTTTAGAATGATTGTAATATAGATAAAAGAGAAACCTTTTTGGGGTTGGGAATAGAGCAGAGAGGAAGGTGAGTAATCATTTCTTGGTATGAAAACTCATCCTTTTCTGTGAGTTGGGAGAGCTCCATCCAGAACAAAAACCTTGCCGTATGATGATGATGCAATATATAACCGGGTACAATACATAATATATGAAATTAATGAAACATACACAAATTAATATATAGCAAGCTAGAAAAATAGTATGCAAATCAATTTTCTTTATATGTATATATCCATACCTCAAACACCATCATACTTGGAATTCAGACTTCCTTGAAATAATTTTTCTACCTTAAGAAGTGGCTTGGCCTGCAAGACATCAAACAATTTGATTAACGTTCAGCATAACCAACAATCATCATCATACAAGGCAAAATCATCACTTAGAAAGTTTGAGCAATTTCGAGTTGCATATATATGATTAGTCTCCTTGCTTAGCCTGAAATTTGCCAGCTTTACAGTCCATTGTGGTTATTTATCAAAGAAAAGGAGAAAAAAAAAAAAGAAAAAGGATCATGCATGTTATGAAAATGGTTGTCAGGATACATAACGTAAGTCAAAGAATAGAAAAGTACAATAGAATAGGTTCATTTTACAGTTAATTATTTTCCGGAAAGAAGAGTCACAAATAATAATTACAATGAAGTGCACAGAAAACCTTCAATAGATTAACTGCAGCAAATATCAAACACATCATCCTCTTGAACGATAAGTTTTCGAAGACATCCCATAGATTTACAATTTCATCCAAAATTTTGACATATAGGCTCAAATATTTCAGAATCAGTAATCAATTTTTCTGTTGAGAGAGGTGAAGTGTTGTTATAAAGTATATCTACTACATTTAATTTCAGTTGTGCATGTCCATTATATGTAAATATAAAAAGAAAAGAATTACGAATTATACAGTAATTGCCAAAACGAAAAATGGATGACAAAGACGGCGATGAAGTAAGAAAAATAAGTTAGTGCTGTCTCCCTGACCTGGCCATACGGGGCAATGCTCCGCAAACCACCCAGGAATGGGGGAGATGAAGCTCCTGAGTACTTTCGTTTTCTTCTTCTCTTTAACATGAATCGCTGAAACTACAGCAACTGCAGACTCCATTACAAGCCGAAACTATGCTCTTTGTTTTCTCCATGAGTTATTCTTTCTCCAGCTTCTCCCTGTGATAATGTTTGGCAGGTTAATAACAAAAACGTTTAAGTAAACAAATTTAACCAGAAGAAATATATATATGTATATATTTAATCTGGTGTTCCCATTTATAGTTATGTATTCAGCAACTTGTAAATGAGCACTATTATAAATAATATATATATATATATTGAGAGTAGAAATTAAATCCTGGTTGGTCTGAGATTCGTAATTAATACACCAAATCTCCCACTTTTCCTTTCCTGCCTTTTCTAATAACCCATCATCAATTTTTCTTGTCTTCACTTAAAATAAATTGTGATGAACATGACATATATAAGAATTCCAAAAGGATCTCTTAAGTAACAAATAAATGAATGCATTATAAAACAATACTATGTATAAATGAAGAAGACAGAAAAATCCCTTAATGAAAAGAAATCAAAGTTTTTTCCCTTAATTGAAATATTATTAGTACTAATATATATATAAATTGAATTTAACAACAGAATTTATCGAAGTACGCGGGGTTCTTTACTGGGAGTTTACTTTGTGTCAATGGGATTATGAAGTTAAAAGAGAAATTAGAAATTGTTTTGTGTTTTTTAAAGAGTAAACGGCTTTTTTCCACCCAAGGTTTGCCTTAATGATACTTTTCTATCCAAAAAGTTTTAAATACCATTTTTTTACCTATGGTATATTCCATTAATATCCAAAATACATTTCACTTTCCAATGGCGTTCGGTGAGTTCAGGAGCCAGGGTAGATGGTTTTTCATATAGTAAGGCTGGTGGATCGAATGGTGGTGATCGATTGAATATTCGCTGCTAGAATCAATTGAAAATTAGAAGAACAGGAAATCCTAGTTTTGCGATGGTCAACAATCGGCGAGAAATCAGATGCCGGAGTGAGAGGAATTTTGTGGAGAAGAGAGTGGAGGTTCAATGGTGATAACTGAAAGAATTTTTGCTGTCGACAATCGGCTTGGGTAGTTCTAAATATTAATTTTGGGTGACAAAGTTGAAACTTTTTAGGTGGGAAATGTCATTAAGGCAAACCTTGGGTGGGAAAAAGCCATCAACTTTTATAAAGTTAAAGTCAGCGCAGATGTGTTTTTAGAAATAGGATGGACAAACAAATGGTTATATGTCTTTATTTATATAAGTCTTTTTCATTTTCATCTTTATAAATACCTTAATTTACTTTGACATTTAATATTGAAAATAATCGAAAACTTGTCATCTTAATTCTTATTTTCACATTTCCTTTTATTGCTAGAAACTTAATCCATGGGTTATTCAATTACTAGTAACTAGACAACACTGATGAGACACGTGCGAACTTTATAAGCCTAATGTATATAGCAATGGGACAAGGTCTCTCCTGCCTCCAGCTTATAGAAGTATTGTATTAGGGGTGTTGTTATGCAAAAACACAACAACACGAGGTGTCCAATCGACCTTCGATGGACTGGCAAGATGGTGTGTGTATAAGAATAACTAACTTGGAAGGATTAAAAATCTATAATGGGATGACAAGAGAGGTTTTAAAGTGGTTCGGCAAGTATGAATCAAGCCTACGTTTATTGTTATATTATTGCTTTGCATTTGTACACGTAGATGATTACAAGGGAAACACATAAAGGCGAGGTTAAACTCTCTTAAGTGAGTTTCTTGTTCTATATGTGGATCATCCTCCTTCAAAATGGAGATGGAGTCTCCCTTTTACATCGTATGATATAGGCTAGGAGTTGTTATGGGATGATTACAAGTAAATCCCCTGTAATCCGGATCTGAGTCAACCCCTCCCATACTTAAGTCTGAATACTATGCTTAATATGATAACTTGTTAGGGAAGTCATCTGATGTGGAGCGACACTGGGGCAGACTCAACTGTCATAATCTTAGTTTGGTGTGAGGAAAGGGGCCAAATCTGGTCGTCGGAAGGGTCATGCACAACAGGGGTAATTTTGTTGATTTCTCCTTAGCCTTAGGTTTTGGTTTGTTAAGGTCAGGAGATCTCAAGGAGGTAGAAATAAATTTTCAAAAGAAAGGGTTCTGATAATTAGGAAAAAGTTGAGGAGGTGAAGTAATTCTCTTGTAAAATGAATGAAATTAACTTCAGTTATTTTTAAATTGCCGCGCGTTCTTTATAGTTTTAAGTTATAATTCGAGGCGAAATCCTCGTGGTAATCATCGATTCTCCAGAAATCTCGCAATGCAAATTGAAACCAACAACATCCATGATGGATCAGAAGCCATGTGTGCAGTAGATTATGTTCTTGTAAATTCCTCGGTTTGATCGTTAATCACAAGAGCTTCCTCTTCAGTGATTTCCACATAAATAATGACGGTGAAGCAAGATGAATAATAACATTAGCTTGTACAATTTGCACAAGACCTTCTCCCTCGCCGAGCCAACGCGTCCTGGTGGAACCGAGTCCACGACCCACAAAGCGACTTTATCACAAATGGAACCATTTTTTGGTGATTTGCCTTGTAGCGTTGTATTTAGACCCTCTTTATCTTTTCTACCCCATTATCCGCAACGGTGCTGACCATCGATCTCAATTAGGCATCGTGGTTACCTTCTTTAGGACAGTGACGGACGCATTCTTTCTCTCGCCACATTTTTATCAGTTCGAACAGCATTGTGGCACCAGTTCCAGGGTTTTTGGCAGGGGAGAGCTCGTCAAGGATCCAAAAAAGATTGCCAGCCGCTACTTGAAGTCTGAATTTGCTATGGATTTAGCAGCTGCACTTCCTCTCCCACAGGTTATATCATAGAATGGAATTTTAAGATTTGTTAATTATAAATATTACTTGGCGTTGCTTTGAAATGCAGCTTGTCATCTGGTTCGTGATTCAGTACTCAAATATACAACAGCTGAATATGCTAACACACTCTTTCTCTATTGTTTGATTCAATAAGTTCCCCGAATTTCAATTATATTCCCTCTAAACAGACGGATTATTAAAACGGCCGGAATTGTGGCCAAAAGTCCGTGGGTCAGGTCAGTTTACAATCTCCCTCATGTACATGCTTTGAGCATGTGAGCATTTATATATTCAATATCTTATAAATGCCGTTTATACATAATTTGCTTTATTTGATTTAAAATTTTCGGTGCAGCTTCTTGGAGCTGTATGGTATTTGTTTTCTATGCAGCGGCAGTATGAGTGCTGGTCTATCGAATGTCAAAAGGAGAGTAATATCACCAACGCTCAGCCTTGATTGCTTCTTTTCTTGACTGTGAAACTAAGGACAAACTAAACGCGAAGCTGGTTTAAGGCCACCATGGTGCTCCGCAATTGTGATGCTAAAGATGATGATAAGTTTCAGTTCGGAATATACGCTGATGCTTTTACTAATGATGTTGCTGAATCAACTTTCTTTAAAAAATTTCTATTGCCTCTGGTGGGGTTTAAAACGCTAAGGTATGGTCAGTTACAGGGAAAATCTCATGGAAAACTTTCTGTTGTCAACTTTCTTTCAATCAACATTCTAATTTATGTTTCATAGAGATCTTATTTAATGCTTGATTCATGTTTACCTTATGCAAATTTAATTAGTTATTTTGTAGCAAATAATAGAGGTCCTCATTATTTGGTAGAAAATGATTGACATATAGCTAAAATATTTCATTATTTTCTTAAAAAATTTTACCAATCTACTTTACAATTTTTTGGTGTGTATTATCCTACTAGTCCATTGGTAATACATACAATTATAAAAATTTCAGAGTTATTTACAAAAAACAAAAACAATGAAATTTTAAAGGAACCAATAAAGGCAATGAATTTTTTTTTTTTAAATATTGGAAACTCATTCATTTTCTTTATTGTTTAGGTGTTACATTTGATCCTAGAATTAAATTAGCAGGTTTAGAAAATGGTTTAGACAATTTAAGTGAAAATTTACAAACCGAAGCATATGCCAATCAAATAGGAGAGGTAAAAAATTGTCTTACAGAAGTATATTTCCAATATGAAAATAGGTATGGGAACTCGCAAAGAGGCGAAATATCCAGGGAAGTTGCATCAAAAGAATCAAATGAAGACTTCTACTCTTGGAGTGCACTGAATAGGCTAAAGAAGACCCGAATCCGAAGCACAACCTCTTCTTCAGAAGCACCACCAGCAACAACAACAACAACTAATATACTGTCCTCCACGCAGTCACAGAGTAATGAGCTTCAATAATATTTGGCAACCCCCGAAATGTTACCAGCAGATCCACAACAGAGAGCCAACTTTGACGTCTTAGAATATTGGAAAGCCAGAAAATGTATTTTTTCGTATTATCAAGACTTGCCTTGGATGTTTTCGCTGTTCTTGTCTCAACCGTCTCATCCGAACAAACATTTAGTGCAAGTGGAAGAATTTTAAATGAAAGGAGGACTAAACTTTCATAAAAAATGATTGAAGTCCTCACATGTCTTCGAGATTGGGAACGGTCGCGCCATCAAGATTAATACGAGATTGTCGACGATATTTTAATAGAAACATTTTAATTTTGTAATATAGATGATACAAATGAGGGAGGTCATAGTTAACCCCCAAATTAGTTGTTTTGTAAATTGTAACTTGTAAATTAATTGTCAATTATTGCACTCTTTTTTTCTTTACCAAGTTTTTGTCTCATTGGGTTTTTCTTGGTGGGGTTTTTAATGAGGCAATAATTGTTGTAATTTCTTATTTTATTTTTTGATAAATGAATAAATATAATTTTTCTTATATGAGTAACGGGGTGGATTACTTTTCCAACATTAGTTATTAAAAAAAAAAAAAAAAAAATTCTCCACATTTATCAGTATTTGAAACCATGATCAATTTAAATCTTGACACAAACATTAATCAAGTTTAAACCAAAGAAATATTGCATACATATATTAATCAAGTTTTGCTTTATAGTTTCTGTACATACGTGTGATTTGCATTGATAATATATGACTGTAATTATAATTCTATCCAATAATTAATATATATAATAGAAGGTTAATCCAAAGTTTTGATGTAAACGTCCAACACGTTAACCCTGCATAAAAACATCACTCGCTAATTATAACTCATCAATTGTGGAGAGAATACTTTGTATGGTTAACTATATAAATACATTTGAAATTTACTTAATTTTAATTAATTAATTAATCAAATTGCTCATGATTAGAAATTGACGAATATTGTGAAGGCGGCAATGTCACCAACCACAGCCACTTACTTATCCCTTGCGTAACCCAATTGGTTTGTGAGCTTAATAAATGTTTTATCGTTTTTAATTAAATAAATAAATCATATTAACTATTAAGCTAATTATGAATCATGATTATTTGGATACATATTTTCTCGTTCTTTAATTAAATTTAAGTAATTATGAATCATGATTAATTATTTGGAATTTGAGTATGTATTTGGTACTACTTAATAAAAAATTGACACGATACAAACAGTAAAAATTAAGGAAACATTAAATTTGAAGAGAACCAGAATTCACAAGATTAATGAATCGACCATCAATCTATTGAGCTCTAATTAAAGTAACACATTGTTTAAATTTGATTTATAAACCAACGAATTAAAATTGACATAAATTATTGAAAAAAGAAACATGAATGAGTATAAATTATTGAGTTTCTATCACAACATTGATTCTGATTTCTGAGGCTGGAGTCTTGGCATATATTCTGATTACTTATTGCTGAAAATCAATTTTATCGATCCTTTTATGTTTCAGTTGTAATGGTGACAACTCCCCTTCAGACTGCTGCTATTTCAGATGACTTTGGAGTTCACTGACTTCTTTGCAAATGATGGTAGACAAAATGCGGCAGAATGTACCTGAATATATAGTAGATCATCATATATATATATATAGCAAGAAAAAAGTTTCAGAATGTGAAGCCAATTAATGGTGCTTTGAGGACGAGATTAATTACCTCTGAGTCGTAAAATTTCAGTGGCTCTTTTGCCACACCGAAAGTTTGTTCTGGATCGATGGGGTTGACAGGACGTTTGAAGTCCACGGAGGGACCCTCAGTAGAGCAAAGCATGAAACCTATTACTCCACTGATGAATTTAAACCATGTTACTCTATATTGAATACTATACAAAAAGTAGTAAATCCTAAAAGATGAATGGAATAAATGACAGAGAAAATTAGGAAAAAGAGAGTGAGGATGCATGCATGCATGCCTTGGATAAGTAGGAACTATCGTCCATGCATAGCTGGAAGAGCCTTTGAATATCCGGAGACAATTTGCGACGAGATCTTCAATGCTGAGTGCCGGATACCATAGACTTTCCGCCTGGATACACATCACTCCACCGGGGCGGAGAGCTTTTGCCACCAACTCAAAGAATGAACTTTTGAAAAGCTCATCTTCAGGTCCTGCATCAAATTAGTGTATAATGAGAACATTCGAATTAATAAATTAATTAATAACTGAAGATGATATATAAAAGGAAGAAATTAGGTTACTTATTGGGTCAAATGCATCCACTATTATAGCATCATAGGTACCACTTTGAACAGACTTCAAAAATTTAGTTCCTGACATTTTTGCAACATATTAAGAAGGTAAACTTTCAGGGTAAATATAGAGGAAAAGCTAGCTATAACAAGAAGAAACTAACAATCAAATTGAATATACCGTCTCTGACATGAAGTTTTACTCGAGAATCCTCGTATCCAACAGCAATTTCAGGGAAGAATTCCTTATACACCTGAAACAATATTATATTATATGAAATTTCACCGTCAGAATTTTGAGTCATCAAAAGAGACAACTTTCGCAGGACCGTGCCTTTAATAATCATACAAGACGACGAATTAAACTTACTCAGCTGGGACAAAATCCATGACCCACATCATATATAAAATTCTGAATTTGTAGAGTAACAACGTGTATTATTTTAATAAAACCAAAAGTTAATGTTGACTTTGCTGTAGGCATGGTGTTGAATAATCCATGTCATATGATTCGTGTTTCACCTGAAATTAATAAACTACGACTCTGTCTCCCACTTTTTTAAACACTGAAAGATTAAAATATTACTCACGTTCACCAGCATCGTGTCAATCTCGCATATATCAATCTGCTCAACGGAAGAATGTCGAGAGATTTCACGTAGGATACCACCATCTCCTCCCCCAATAAGCAACACCTAAAATTTCAATAAAAAAAAAAAGAAGAAAAGAAAAAAATTCAACGACAGGCCACTGATTGGAAGATAGAAAATTGTTGTCTAACTAATTACACAATAGATTGTATTTATATAGACATGGATTTGGGGAGATCTTTAGAATGATTGTAAATTATGATAAAAGAGAAACCTTTTTGGGGTTGGGAATAGAGCAGAGAGGAAGGTGAGTAATCATTTCTTGGTATGAAAACTCATCCTTTTCTGTGAGTTGGAGAGCTCCATCCAGAACAAAAACCTTGCCGTATGATGATGACTGCATATAATATAACCAGGGTACAATACATAATATATTGAAATTAATGAACATACACAAATTAATATATAGCAAGCTAGAAAAATAGTATGCCAAATCAAATTTTCTTTATATGTATATATCCATACCTCAAACACCATCATACTTTGGAATTCAGACTTTCCTTGAAATATAATTTTTTCTACCTTTAAGAAGTGTGCTTGGCCTGCAAGATACATCAAACAATTTGATTAACGTTCAGCATAACCAACAATCATACTATCACAAGGCAAAATCATCACTTAGAAAGTCTGAGCAATTTCGAGTTGCATATATATGATTAGGTCTCCTTGCTTAAGCCTGAAATTTGCCAGCTTTACAGTCCATATTTTGTGGTTATTTATCAAAGAAAAGGAGAAAAAAAAAAAAAAAAAAGGATCAATGCATGTTATGAAAAATTTGGTTGTCAGGATACATAACGTAAGTCAAAGAATAGAAAAGTACAATCAGAATAGGTTCATTTTACAGTTTAATTAATTTTCCGGAAAGAAGAAGGTTCACAAAAATAACTTAATTTTACAATGAAATGTGCACAGAAAACCTTCAAATAGATTAACTGCAGCAAATATCAAACACATCATCCTCTTGAACGATAAGTTTTCGAAGAACATCCCATAGATTTACAATTTTCATCCAAAATTTGACATATATGGCTCAAAAAATATTCAGAAGCAGTAATCAATTTTCTTCTGTTGCGAGAGAGTGAAGTGTTGCGATAAAGTATATTCTACTACATTTAATTTCAGTTGTGCATTGTCATATATGTATAATAAAGAAAAAGAATTAGAATTATCAGTAAATTGCCAAAACGAAAATGGATGACAAAGAGGGATGAAGTAAGAAAAATAAGTTATGTGCTGTCTCATGACCTGGCCATACGGGGCAATGCTCCGCAAACCACCCAGGAATGGGTGGGATGATGCTCCTAGTACTTTCGTTTTCTTCTTCTCTTTCACATGAATCGCTGAAACTACAGCAACTGCAGACTCACCATTACAAGCCGAAACTATGCTCTTTGTTTCTTCATGAGTATTCTCTTCTCCAGCTTCTCCCGTGATAATGTTTGGCAGGTTTAACAAAAACGTTTAAGTAAACAAATTTAACCAGAAGAAATATATATATGTATATATTTATTGGTGTTCCATTTATAGTTATGTATTCAGCAACTTGTAAATGAGCACTATATATATTATATATATATATAGATATATTGTTAGTAAGAATTAAATCTGGTTGGTCTGAGAATCTGTAATTAATACACCAAATCTCCCACTTTTTCCTTTCCTCCTCCTTTTCTAATTAACCCATCATCAATTTTTCTTGTCTTCACTTAAATAAATTGTGATACATGACATATATAAGAATTCCAAATAGGATCTCTTATAAGTAACAAATAAATGAATGCATTATAAAAATACTATGTATAAATGAAGAAGACAGAAAAATCCCTTAATGAGAAAGAAATCAGTTTTTTTTTCCCTTAATTGAAATATTATATATATATATATATATATATAAACTTGAATTTAACAACAGAATTTAATCGTACGCGGGTTTCTTTACTTGGAAGTCTTACTTTGTGTCAAAGGATTATGAAGTGTAAAAGAGAAATTAGAAAATGGTTTTGTTTTTTTAAAGAGTAAACGCTTTTTCCCACCCAAGGTTTGCCTTAATGAACTTTTCTATCCAAAAAGTTTCGAAATACCATTTTACCCATGTTTATATTCCTTAATATCCAAAAACATTTCACTTTCTCAATTGGCGTTCGGTAGTCGAGCCAGGGTAAGATGGTTTTTCATATAGTGAAAGGCTGTGATCGAGGTGGTGACGATTGAATATTCGCTGTAGAATCAATTGAAATTAGCTAAGAACAGGAAACCGTTTTTGCATGGTCAACAATCGGCGAGAAATCAGATGCCGAGTGAGAGAAATTTTGTGAGAAGAGTGGAGGTTCAAGGTGATAATGAGAGAATTTTGCTGTCGAAATCGGCTTTGGGTAGTACTAAATATTAATTTTGGTGAAAAGTTGAAACTTTTTAGGTGGGAAATGTCATTAAGGCAAACCTTGGTGGGAAAAGTCCATACTTTTTAGTTAAGTCAGCGCAGATGTGTTTGTTTAGAAATAGGATGGACAAAAAATGGTTTCATATGTCTTTATTTATATAAGTCTTTTTCATTTTCATCTTTTATAAATACCTTTAATTTCTTTGACCATTTATATTGAAAATATCGAAACCTTTGTCATCTTAATTCTTATTTTCACATTTCCTTTTATTGCTAGAACATTAATCCATGGGTTATTCACATTACTATACTAGACAACATCTGATGAGACACTGCGAACTTTTAAGCCTAATGTTATATGCAATGGAAAGCTCTCCTGCCTCCAGTTATAAAAGTATTGTTATTGGGTGTTGTTATGCAAAAACACAACAACCAAGGTGTCCATCGACCTTCGATGGACTGAGCAAATGTGTGGGTGATTAAGAATAACAACTTGGAATGGATTAAAAAATCCTAAAGGATGACAAAGAGGTTTTAAGTGGTTCGGCAAGTATGAATCAAGCCTACGTTTATTGTTATTTATGCTTTTGATTTGCTTTACACTAAATGATTACAAGGGAAACACTAAAGGCAGGTTAAACTCTCTCTAAGTGTTTCTTGTTCTTATGTGGATCATCCTCCTTCAAAATGGAGATGGAGTCTCCCTTTATACACATCGTATGTAATGGCTAGGAGTTGTTAGGGATAGATTACAAGTATATCCCTGTAATCCGGATCTGAGTCAATCCCTCCCATTTAAGTCTTGAACCTATGCTTAATATTGATATACTTATTAGGAAGTCTCTGAGTGGAGACGACACGTGGGGCAGCTCAACTGTATATCCTGTTTGGTGTGAGGAAAGGTGACCCAAATCTGTCGTCGAAGGTCTGCACAACAAGGGGTAATTTTGTGATTTCTCCTTAGCCTTAGGTTTTGGTTTGTTAAGGTCAGGAGATCTCAAGGGAGGTAGAATAATTTTCAAAAGTAAAGGGTCTTAAATTAGGAAAAAGTTGAGGGAGGTGAAGAATTTCTTGTAAAAGAATGAAATTACTACTTCAGTTATCTTTAAATTGCCGCGCGTTCTTTATAGTTTTAAGTTTAATTCGAGGCGAAATCCTCGTGGTAATCATCGATCTCCAAAATCTCGCAATGCAAATTGAAACCACAACATCATGATGATCCAGAAGCCATGTGTGCAGTAGATTAATGTTCTTGTACAATTTCTCTCTGGTTTGATCGTTTAATCAAAGAGCTTCCTCTTCGGTGATTCCACATAAATAATGACGGTGAAGCAAGATGAATAATAACATAAGCTTGTACAATTTGCACAAGACCTTCTCCCTCCGCCGAGCCAACGCGTCCTGGTGGAACCGAATCCACGACCACAAAAGCGACTTTATCACAAAATGGAACATTTTTTTCTGGTGATCTGCCTTGTAGCGTTGTATTTAGACCCTCTGTATCTTTTCTACCCCATTATCCGCAACGATTGCTTGACCATCGATCTCAATTTAGGCATCGTGGTACCTTCTTTAGGACAGTGACGGACGCATTCTTTCTCTCGCACATTTTTATCAAGTTCAGAACAGCATTTGTGGCACCCAGTTCCAGGGTTTTTGGCAGGGGAGAGCTCGTCAAGGATCCAAAAAAGATTGCCAGCCGCTACTTGAAGTCTGAATTTGCTATGGATTTAGCAGCTGCACTTCCTCTCCCACAGTTATATCACAGAATGGAATTTTAAGATTTGTTAATTATAAATATTTTTACTTGGCGTTGCTTGAATGCAGCTTGTCTCTGGTTCGTATTCCAGTACTCAAATATACAACAGCTGAATATGCAACCACACTCTTTCTCTCATGTTTCTGATTCAATGTTCCCCGAATTTCAATTATATTCCCTCTTAACAGACGGATTATTAAAACTGAATTGTGGCCAAAAGTCCGTGGTCAGGCTCTGTTTACAATCTCCTCATGTACATGTTTGAGCCATGTGAGCATTATATATTCAATTCTTATATATCCGTTTATCATCATTTGTCTCTTTATTTGATTTAAAATTTTCGGTGCAGCTTCTTGGAGCGTATGGTATTTGTTTTCTATGCACGGCAGTATGAGTGGGTCTATCGAATGTCAAAAGGAGAGTAATATCCACCAACGCTCAGCCTTGTATTGCTTCTTTTCTTGACTTGAAACTAAGACAAACATAACGCGAAGCTTGGTTTAAGGCCACTGGTGCTCCGCAATTGTGATGCTAAAGATGATGATAAGTTTCAGTTCGGAATATACGCTGATGCTTTTACTAATGATGTGCTGAATCAACTTTCTTTAAAAATATTTCTATTGCCTCTGGTGGGGTTTAAAAACGCTAGGTATAGGTCAGTTACAGGGAAAATCTCATGGAAAACTTTTCGTTGTAACTTTCTTTCTCAATTCAACATTCTAATTTATGTTTATCCATAGAGATATTCAGCTCTTCCATTCTCAAATACATCCTTCGTTTTAAATCATCGAAATCCGGTTTGTTATTAAGCTATAACAAGAAAAACAGGAATCACCTAGATTTTATTTCTAAAAAGATTATGAAGAGCAGGAGTCCCTGTTATCTTGCTTCTTACTACTATTATAAAAATGGTATAGAAATATTAATTTGATGTTTTGACTGTAATACAATTTCAACCATTTCTTGATGTGTAGTTGCTATGGGCAGAATCTTGAGACGAGTACTTACTGTTGGTGAAACAATATTCAGCATTGTTTCTGCATTGGTGGTCTAATTCTGTTCTCACATCATAGGCAAAATGCAGGTATGGAAAAATCATAGAGTATCAGAAAGATGCTTCAGTGTTTAATTAGTCTGATTTGATAATTTTTTTTCTTCTTAAAGACGTATTTGCAATCCACAAACGCTAGACTAGAGGAGTGGAGGGTTAGAAGAAAAGATACAGAAGAGTGGATGAGGCACCGGCAATTGCCCCAAGAGCTGCAAGAACGGGTACGCCGGTTTGTGCAATACATGGCTAGCCACAAGAGGAGCTGATGAAGAATCCATTTTGGGCTCTTTACCTTTGGATCTTAGCGCAAATTCAGAGGCATCTCTGTCTAGCTTTTTTTCAACGTGTAAGT